TTGGTCAGTGTCCCACGAAGCCCCTTCTTCCCATTTTATTATCTGTGAGGTCTGGCAGTTTCTCACCTTTTGTTGTGTGTGGTGCCTGGGGCCCTCCTGACCACCAGGCCTAGCTGACAGCAGGCCCCATGGTTGTGTCTTTCCCTTGGAATCTGTGATGGCTGGCAATTTGCCACATGGAAATGTAGGAAATTATGCTGATAACTGCATATATGACCTGAGCACTACTCTTAAAATGAAGAATGTTTTATAGTTCCTTGCATTGCTGTCTGGTTTGTACAGATGTAGCAGGGTAGGCCATTTATTCACACAGCCTGGTAGGCTGTAGAGAAGCAGACGAATGAAAAGTGCATAATGGAAGCTTTTAGTTGTATAAAGCTTGCCCAACCACCTCTCACTGCTGCAGGACTGCATGAACAAGAAGAGTCTTGACTCTGAAAAGGAAACCAGCATTTCCCACTTGGTGTGTTCAAACTTTCCCTCACAAGACCTCATAGCTCAGGCTGGTCTCTGAAGTGCTAAAGCCACCTAGTGGTAGGCTGCTCCACTGGGCACGGGTACGTAACGTTTTACAGAGTATATGTACATATACAAAACACTGATTTTCTAAAGCAGAATAGAGCAAAATAGTTTTAAATGTTAGGAAAATATGCATGCAGTTATTAAGAATGACATTTGATTCTACTGAGCACTTAAATAGTGGTGATAGACAGGGCATGGTATTGTGCCACATGGATCTTGTGTTCTGTTTGCTGTATGAGACTATTTCCTACTTCAGAAGGCCTCCTTCCCAGTGAGAATAACTGTGTCACTGTCTTGTAGGTGGGGAGGGAAAAAAAATAGATCCTCTGTTAACTTGATCATCCCTCCAGTTTGTAGTAAGTTCAAAGTCTAAGTTTTTGAAACATACTCCTTGACTGAAAAAAGAGATGTCTATAAGTAAGCACAAAGCTAGCAGTCTTATTAAGGCACTAAATCTAACTTCTAAACCTAAAATCAGTTTGTACAAAAGTTTAATGAACATGGCTATGGCTTACTTAAAATACTTTGAAATACTTTATTAATTCCCAGAGAATATTTCTAAGGTTCAATTTTACTTTAAATGTGTTACCTCAAGTGATGCAAAAATTTTGCTAACTGTTGTAAGTAGCCTGGATAGTAACAAAATTGGGGACTGTTGGAAGTTCCTGTGGTTAGTCACCATGAAAAGCTGGCTGAATCCTGCTACTGCTGCTTAGACTCCAACCAAGAATAAAGGCTGTGATGGGACTTTAACTGTGCTTGAAGCCCCCAAGTGTAATTAGACATCTTGCAAGTGTTTAGAATCAGTGCAAAGGCAAGAACCTTGTACACCACTTTGTTAGATTTAACTATGTCAGGTAAAACAGAACAGGAGTCATGACATATCACTGAAAATAGCACTCATATAATGCTGACACAAATGGTTAAATGCAGTGAATTTTTTTATTGGTGAAGATATCATTTTCAATATGCAAAATAATCCCCATTCAATAATTTTATATCAAAGCAAATTAAAAAAATCATTATATTGAAACCCCACCAAATTTTTTCCATACAAATTTCCTGTAATATATCCTAGAACCTCTACCAACTAGAAAAGGATACTTACAGAATTTGAGTTTCTGACAAGTCTGATTTTGCAAGAAAACACTCCTCATAGATGTGAAAGGGTTAAATATATACAGTGGGACATTCTCATTTGTTTTCCTTGCTGAATAAATACTTTTTTAAAGAACATACTCTCCATAGGCAATACTTAGCACATGTAACAGTGTCTTTTCAGTATATTTGTTGAAAATAAATGCAACTGTTACTATGCTGCCAGACAAGAAACCACTGTTGTCTGCTCTGAAGCCCTAAATATATGCTAATAAAAATCAAGTGTTCCTGCCAGTACCAAACGGGAAGTATTCAGGGAATTCATGAATAATTTTTAGTGCTTCATTGTAGAGTTCCAGATCTGAAAAATGGCAAAGAAAATGGTTATAATGCATAAGCTCAAGTCACTGACAACATTCAAGTGCTGCTTATTTTAAAGCAGTAGTGTTGAGTGATCCCAGTCTCCCTCCAGCTCTCTCCCATTTTCCCACAGCAGGAACACTCATTGCTTGTTTTTTGGAGGGTTACTTCTAAGCCTGCCAGCTGCACAACTACACAAGGTCCAGGGCAAGGTGAGAACCACACAGTCAGGAGTGGGAGAACAATCATGCCACAGCAATGATCTAGACTGGCTCCAATATTGAGTCACTCCCTACAGTTAAACCACTAAATTTGGTACAGAAATTTTCTCATGACACTCTTCTACACCCTGCTCCTTATCTGGCAGTTTGAAGAAAGACCTTCACTGTAAAATGGTAACTAGGCTTTCCCTTCTTATTGACTGAAGACAAGTTCAGAACTAAAAATTAATTTGCCATAATGTATATTCTTACTTACCAAATGAACTTTTATCTTCTCTGAACTGGACGTATGATGCACACATGATGGTTGCCTGATTTGTTACTCTTCCTACCACTTCAATAACTCCTGAAATCTCCTCATCCAGCTAGAAAACATACCAAAAATGAAGTTAGTAACACTAAATTAGCTGCTGTCTTTACTGCACAGCTAGGAATTCTCCACAACTGATGGTTTGTTCATGACAGATTGTTCCATGTCAAACAATACAGTACTACGGAACAGCCCTGTCACCCTCCCCCACAAAAACCTTGATCCACTTAAAGATTTACAGGTTTTGTAATAGCTAATTCAATACCAACAAAAAAAAAATGATAAAAAAGACACATCCAAGGAGAGATACTGGTTCATAAGTATATAAAACTGTGTCATTTAATCAATGAACAGAGACTAATCTAGGACACAGAGAGACAACAATTCTGATTTTAATGCACTGCATTCAAATCTGTGTCAATTATAGAACTCCATAAGAGTTAAGGAGGTATCACACATTCCAGAGAGCAGTTCCAGTATTCCACATTCAGGGGTATATCTAGAAATAATTTCTTAAGTAATCTGTCAGTAAGTGTTCAGAATACAAAGATACTGTCACTAATAAGCCTTTGGTTGAACAAAGGAAAAAAAAGCTAAAAATTATATCTTACACCAAAAAAACACAGCTTGAATGTTGTTTTTGTTTTTTAAGATACAAATTTTAACAGTGCAGTACTATTTTGGTAATGCTCTTCCAACATCTAAGTTTTATTTTTTACTTTCTAGTAAGTCTTCTGTAATAATTCCCTCCCCATAATTTTGGGGTCCTCTGTTGAAAGAGGGAATTGTGCATGCACAAATATATTGATATATTTATATACAGATATATTGAAAGGGAAAAAAGTTAGAAAGCATTTTGATTAACAAATCTATTAGTTTCCCCACTGACATTGGGTGAACTGGAGAGATGAACCTGGACTTCCTAGCCTCACTTTTTTTTGCACACACCAGCTTCTCCCAAGGCAGTGGAACACAGACTGAAGTGCCCAGCACTATAGCTTTGCATTCATGGAATTCAACCACTTATACTGCTAGAGAAAATATTATAGAACCATTGGTCAGATGCTAACATCTGAATTTCTAACAACGCAAGGCAGGAAATGTTTTCACAAACTCAAGAAAGAGGTAAGAGACATTTTGTTGCAGTTTGACGTCAGCAATCTTCACATTTATAAGATAAAACTCTGCCAGATTTAACTGCATTTTTCATCAACAAGGACGGACTCGTCTTGAAAGACTGAAAGAGTACCATATACAGTTATTTCCCAAGGAAATGGCAAGGTTTCTCAGCGTTTAACAACTCATTTGGAGAAAAAGATGTAAATATACACATGCTCTGAGTCAAGCTAGAGCATTTGCCATCACAATTAAAATAATTGTTTCATTACAGCACTTCTTGGTGAAAAAAACAAAATCAGAAGAGAATGCTGAAATGTTATTCCTTTAGTGGTAGGTGATAACAAAGGAAGCAGGATTTTATTCAGTAGTTCTAACTATATCTTATACCCATTTCATTAATTGCTTGGGGTTTTTTTAAGAAAGAATGCTTCAAGCTAACTATGGAGTTTCCTGAAACACTATGACAAGTGTTCTACGAAGATGTAGCAATGTTAAAAAAACATTTGAAAACACCATGTTCTTTTTGGTAATAGAAGTGATAAGGAAATGGGAAGAAAGACAGAAATTAAAATAAAGCTAATAAACGTAGTGGAATATATTATACTGTGAACAACTAATAGAGAGCCAAACAGGGATGTGTCTGACAAGGAATGAGTTGTCTCTTAACACTAGCTGAAAACTGATGAAGACCAAGGCAGCTCATGGGTAAGAAGACTGCAGGTTAGCTAAAAGATACAAGAAAGAAAGGCAATGAAATACAGGTGGAAAAACTCAAAACATGGAAGGCATGTACAGGTTTCAGAAGAGACAAAATCTCGGGAATCCACAAGGGGCGACATCAAGTATTTCCAAAGCATTCCTTAACTTACAGGCTCGCTCAGCTCCACAGTCGTGTGCTTTCCGAGTCCGTCTGTAAGCACAAGAAGCTTCCCGCTAGGATGAATCTACAAAAGAACATTTAAGTCTAGAAAATACATTAGGCCTGTGCGCTCCCAAGGCACCTGGAAGCGCCACAGCTTTGGCCGCCTCAGCAGTTCTTTCCCTCTAAGATCCGGCCGCCTCCCCCCCAGCTCCGGCCGCCTGGAGCTGCCGAGCTGCCCGAGGTACGGCGCCAGCCCCGCTCCCAGACCCCGCCGAGCGCCCCGCGGACCTTCTCGACGCGCCCCACGAAGCAGACGGGCTGCCCGATGTGCTGCGCCAGCTGCCCCGTGGCGATGCGCGGCCGCGGCACCTCGTGGATGTCACTCATGGCCGGCGCCGCTTCCCGCCTTCCGCCGAGGGAGGGACGGCGGCCCGGGAGCGGGGAGGCCGGGGCGGGACTTCCCTTCCGCCTGAGGCGACCCGGAAGCGGAGGCGGAGGTTGGTGAGAGCGGCGGCGGAGGCAGCGGGAGGGTGGGTGACGGAGGGGCGGCTGTCGATGCTGCCGCGGCGGGGAGGGCGGCGGGGCCGAGCCCCGGGGAGGCCGGGGGAACCGGCCGTCAGCTTCTAGCCTTGTCCTATCATTTAATCCTTTTAAATCGCCCCGTATTTCCCCTACCCGGCGTTTCCCTCTCCCTTCAGATACTGGTTCCGCTCAGGTGTAATTTGGCACCGTGCCCTGGCAGACGAGGGCGAAAGGCGTCCTGGGGTGCGTCACGCACAGTGCAAACAGAGGCGATTATCCCGCTGTAGTTAGCGCTGGTGTGGCCTCACCTGGAATATTGAGTAGTTCTGGGCTCCACAGCTACATCCAGAGGAGGGAATCAAAGCTGTTGAAGACAGTGTCCTGTGAGAAACAGCTAAGGACTTCGGGTTTGCCTAGTTCGGGAAAAGGAGTCTGAGGGTTGTCCTTATCATCCTACGGCTTCCTGAGGAGGGGAAGTGGAGACGACATGCTGATCTCTTCTCCCTGGTATTCACTGGATATCCCAGGGTACGCGGGAATGATTCAAAGCTGCACCTGAAGAGGTTTAGGTTGAACATCAGGAAGCATTTCTTTTCTGAGAGGGTGGTCAAACACTGGAAGAAGCTTTCTGGAGAGGTGGTCGATGCCCCAAGCCTGTCAGAGTTTAGGAGGCATTTGGACAATGCCCTAATAACATGCTTTAGCTTCTGATTGTCCCTCAAGTGATCAGGCAGTTGGACCAGAGAATCATTGTAGATTCTTTCCAACTGAGCTATTCTGTTAATTTAATTTTATTTCATTGTTGAGATTGAGCTGGTACTCAGTCTCCAGGTTTAGAACAACTGATGGATGTAAGATAAATACAGCATCTGGACATGGCACTTGCCATGCATCTTGCCTTTTTCCCAATCGATCCCTGGCATGGAGAGGTTCCTTCCAATTGTTCTTGTGGCAAAGGCAACTCACATATCCCAATCTGCATGTGATGTGGTGTTGCCAGCAGATCGAGGGAGCTGCTGCTTCCCCTCTGCTGTGCACTGGTGGGGCACCCAGAGTGCAGGGTGCGAGGACACATGTGGACGTACTGGCGAGAGGCCAAAGAAGGGTCACAACAATGATTAAGAGACTGGACCATCTTATATATGGAAAAAGACTGAGAGAGCTTCAACTGTCTGGCCTAGAGAAGAGAAGGCTCAGAGGGCTCTTATTAATGAGCCCTGAAGGAAGAGGGCAGTCAGGCTTTATTTACTCATGCCCAGTGAAAGGAACAGAGGCAAACGGTACAAACTGAAACACAGGAGATTTATCAGGGAATGCTTTTGTCACTGTGAGAGTGACCAGGCATTGGTACAGGTTGCCCAGAGAGGTTGTGGGGTCTCCATCCTTGGAGGTACTCAAAAGCCACCTGGATGTGGTCCTGAAGAACGAGCTCTAAGATGGTTCTCCTTAAGCAGGGGGTTGGACAAGGGGGCCTCTAAAGGTCCGTTCCAACTGCGGCCATTCTGTGGTTGTGATTTAATTTTCTTTTCCAGGACTGGTGTTTCAGGAAATACTTGGGAAAATCTAACTCTGCTCTGGCTTAAAAGGGCAATCGCAAAACTGCCCATGTGCTGACTGTCTCTTCTAAGCAGCCAAGGGCCAGTTCAGCTTGCTAACCAGTACCAAGTGGTTTTTGTTAGTTGGCTGGTGTGGTGTTGTTATACGGCAGTAGCTTGTGTCAGCTTGCCAGGGAAACAAACTACTGCCAGAAGCTGTGCAGAGCCATCATGTGACCAGAGTGTGCTCTGGAGTTAAATCTTATATGAGATTTAGCTGCATGTCATCCCCCCAGTGTCACCGTGACATTCACCTGTTCAGTATTTTATTTGCAAGAGAATATCCTCATCTCCACAGCATATCTTCAGAGATTTGAAAGGACAGATCTCGTCACTGTAGCTGTTGGAGCAAGGTGCACAGCGGCCCTTCTAGGGCTGAAGGGTTTGAAGGGTCAGCGGCTAGAAAAACATGTACAAGTTCTTACAAATGCTTGTCTGTATCACACTTAGCAGCTGTTGAAGGTTTGCATTCAAAAGAAAATTGTTTGAAAACAGTAGGCTTCAGCCTATCGAGTATTGTGTTTCATTAACACCTAGCTTTCTCTTTTTGCATTTCCTGTCTTCAGGGTTTTGAATGTTTACATCAGTTTAAGTGCTGTTATTTCACTCCTGGCTTTGTTTTTTGTCACCTGTGCTTTTATTGTCTGACTTGGTTGTGGCTGATTTTTTATGATTCAGTCTCTTCAAATGTTTTTATACTATGGTAATTTGGGTTATATAGTTCTTGTATTTCTGCTTTCCTGAAATTTTACAAAAACATTAAAAATAAATCCTAACATTTTATGTAATACAGAAAAAAACGTTGTTAATGTTTCATTATACATATGTCCCTTTTTTTAAAATGTGGTTTTCTTGTGATACTTTCCATTCTTCTCTTTTCAAGAAATACAAATTAAAGAACCATGACTAATGTTAATTCTAGAGAAAAGAAATTATATGCCTTTTTTTTCCTTCTTCACATAGTAACTTAGACTAGGCCAAAAGTTTAAACTGTTCTTTTGGTGTCACAGAGAAATATTTTCAACACGCATGTTCCTGACTCTTAAACTGGTTGTTTTCATGATGAGAGGGATTGTACAGGGCTGTAAGCATCTTGCTCTTTTTCTGATTGTTGCTTTCTTGGTGAATCACAGCAGATGGTAGTGTGGAAGTGAGATCTGCTCTGATGCTCTCTGTTTTCTTTTTCCATAGATTGTACATCTTAAGCTGCTAGATGTGAAATTATTCCAGTTCTTTCTTTAAGGTCAGTTTTGTGTCTTCTTCTGTCCTCATTTCATCATTTATGTAATTACTGGCAGTGCCACTGCAATTTTGCCTTGCTGTATTACTGGGCATTGTCTCTTCATCTTAGTCTGCATCTTTGGTGTTTTTAACATTAAATTATGATTCTCCCCAAGTGTTGAGAACATTCAGAAAAGGCTGAAAAGTAATGGTAAATATACTAAGATCTTTGTTGCATAGAAAAATTTTATTTGATTTAACATATTGGTTTGGCTCAAAGGTCGCCCATAGATCTTGTCAAAGGAGACTGACAAAGTGCAGGAGGAATAAATTAACCCCTTTGTGCAGCTCTGTAACTCATCTTTGTCCAGTGCCACGTAGGTTCTCAGAGCCTCACAGAAAGACAAAATATTTTTTGCAGCCTCACAGAATTGCTGTAGCTCAGAGCTTATTATTTGCTAATGACTGAAGCTGTGCCAAAAGCATTATTCTTAGCTATCAGCGATTGTGTTCACTTTTTTTTGTGAGAGAGGAAACATGAGGAGGAAGGGAATTGCATATTCCTACCAAGGGAGATTTTTATCTTTAGGCAGTGAATTCAATTTCAGGTCTCCTATAGAAATAAAATTAATCCCATCTGGAAGGGAAAAGTGCTGTGCTATGTAGGAGAAATGACTGCAAGAATGTGGTACTATCTCTGAATGGTGGGTGTATTTTCTGTGATTTTGTGCTGACAGCTTTTTTTTAAAAAAACACAACTAACTGCTTTTTTTCCTCAAGTCTGTATGACCATGCATCCAAATCCCAAAACTTCAAATTTTAATTTTTACTCTGGAATGAAACTTAGATGAAGCTGGTTGTTCTGAGCTTTCATTACCTGAAACCTCATCTTATCTACAAGTAGTAAAACTGCAGCCTGATTCTGCAAGTGCTTAAACTGTGTCCTTATCTTCAAGAACAAGAGTGTTTCCATTCAGCTGTGTGTTTCTTTGTTGGATAGGGGCTTTGTTCTGTTTTTAACATGTGATTCAATAAATTTAGTGGTTGCATTTCCCGTTGCTGGGGAGATTTATGTTTACTTTTGAAGTAGCACAGTTGATGAGATTCTTAAAAGAGCATCACAAATGCATTGCCTGTCTACAGTCTTTCCCTTACCCATGCTCTACTGTATGTAGCTGTTTTTTGTTCCTGTGCCCCCTCTGGTTTTTTAGTCATTTGTTTTTCAGTTCTTACTTAATAGTGTGTTCAACAAAGCTACTGAAATGCTGAAAGTAGTAGTTGTTGAACTCTTCCTTCCACATACTTACAAAGACCTGAGATCTACAAGCACAACTTTTGTTTCTAAGAGGTTGCTAGAGAAGGAAACACTAAACATGTTAGTCTTTTTAATATGTGGTTTTATATCACCTCTCCACATTCACAGTCACAAAATAGGGCAGGTACTATTTCCTTAGGGCTGGGCTGGTGATTTTAACAGCATAAGGACTTGAAGCCTGAGCTTAGGATGTACTTTTGTTCATTTTGTTTGGTTTTCTGCTTCAAACAAACCTATATGTGGGTTTTGATTTTGATTTGGTTTGGTATTGGTTTTTTTGTTTTGCTTTCTGTTAGAGAAATACTGCTGGCAGTGGAATTAATCTACTTCAGAAACAGAAAATTCAAAAAAAAGATCAATACTTATGTATGTAGATAAGATGAATTCTTTGGGTTTTAGAAAAAAATGGGATACTGTCAACAAAAATAAAAAATCTAGTATGTGAAAGTGCTTGTAACATTAATTTGGCTTGATCAAATTGTCCTGATTGCTAATTTACTCTGAATTTAAATGCCTATTGTCTTTAAAGCAGTGAAGTTTAGGTATGTTAAATATGCAGGATTTAAAAGACTAAAAGTGCATGGTTCCCTATACAAGTCTTTTGTGCCATGTATATACTGATTAAGATGCTTTTCTTTGTGCAAGAAAGAAGGGAAGGGGGACATTATGTGATAGAGCTGAAAACTGTACAATAATGCAGATCTCAAAAGAGAAAAAGTGTGATTGGAGCAACTGCAGCTCTGGCACCTCAAGTGACTGGAATCTGAGCCTTTACCTAAACTATCTGTAAGATTGTGCACATCAAGTTGATTTTGCTTCTTGTTGTTGCACACTTAAGATGAAGGTAAAATTGCATTTTAAACTGTTCCACAACTGCCTCTCCTTCATACATCATTGGAGCAGAAACCTGACTCTTGAGCATTACAGCACAGGTTTTTACCACTTGAGCTATGGGACTGACAACCCTAATTGGTAGCAGGAGAAGACTTATTCCCTGAGGGCTGAAAAAGGAATATGCTGCTGGCGCCATGTGTTGAGCCTGGGTGTGGGGGGAGGTAAGGAATAAATGAGATAATTAGGAGTTTCTACTGTGTAATCTCCACGGAACTGGAAATATCAGTATTTCTCTTGCTAAGGTAGGAGAACAAGCGAAAAGGAATAGCGTGCTGTTAACTAACATTTTTTAAAAATTACTGTATTCTGGGATTGGATCACAGAATGGTTTGTTCTGTTCTTGTGCACATTAATGTAGTTTATTTGGTGGCTAGAAGTTGCACTGTGTCAGCATAAGCAAGCAGTAGCTGGCCAGGCTGTGGGGTATTCAGTCTTCAAGTCTCAGGTATCAGGCCACAGTTTGAATAGTTGCTGCTTTTGCCATGATCTATTTATACACTGTTCCTGAAAGCCAGTGCTTGCACTTCCTACAGGACTTTCTGGAGTGTGTGATTGCTTGTAACGGCAGAATTTTAGGCAGTTTATATGAATAGTCAGTACTGAGTTGCCACAGGTCCCTGGCCAGGGCAAAAAAAGGTCTTGTTTATTGTATCTTGTATTGTATATGAATATTTGGGTAGGGAACGAAGAAATCCAGCAAATAGTTAATCTAGGATTTTATTATTTTTTTCCTTAATCTGCACATTTCACAGTAGCACTCTTCACTCTTTCCCACATTCTAAAGATTCTTCTTTGTTAAATTTAGTGTGAAATAATGTTACTGAAACTTGACCCTGTATATGTCTTTAATTCTTTACCCTGGAGTCCTTTCCTCTGTTGGAGGTGTATATTAGGGTTGCTATTGGGTTGTCAGTCCCTTCTCATTAATGTGTTGATGTCTGCAAAATAAATCAGGATTCTGCTCCTCAAATTCTGCTTCAAAATTGAAATTACATTATTCCACTTTTCCCAATTTTATATGGGTATTTTGGTAGAGCAGATATCTGCATGCCTTTATTTAAGCCTTCCTCTTTGTGTCCAGCACATAATGTGTTTCAGCCAGACCACAGGCTGCTCCATAGGTTGGTGTTGTCCAGGGGTCCAAGTTCAGCCTTCGAGGGACCCTCATGGGCCCCTTCATGGGTTTTTAGTATGACTTTGTCCTATTTAAGTTACTCAGAATTGCTTCTATGTAGTCTTCCAGTCCTGAGAGAGAAGGGATAATGAGCATTTTCTTTTGCAGTCCATGTTTTTATGTCAATTGTTTCCTTGTTTTCTTCTAGCAATGGAGTTCTTAGCTACCTTGGAAGAGTCTTTTAATGATTTGTTGTTGCAAAAAATTTGCTACAAATGGTTTCGCTGCTTTTTCTTTTAAGGAAATCATTGGTAACTGTTAATTAAATATACTCAACTGTTAGGCAGTCCTTAAGATTGCAGACTGGGAAACTGAAAATAGTTAGCACTGTCTTTGAAGAGAAAGCTTGTCTAATAACAATACAAAGTAGCAGAAAAATACGAAAACATTCTGGATAAAGGCTGAAAGGGGTTTCCATCTTTAATTTTCATTGAGAACAGTTGAATTTTTTTTTATTGTTTGTTTGTTTGTGTTTTTTTGATGATTCCACTTCATTCATAACTTTGTATAAAAGCTTTTTGTACTTCACTGTCCTCTTGCCTGTTGAAGTAAATTGCTACCTCAACAAGGTAATCTGTCAAAATGCCTGATATTTCAAATTGGGTAATAAAGATTAGGTATGTGGCCTCACTACATACATATGGTCTGTTATGTGAACTTATTCAATAGTTCCGTTCAGTAGAATGACTAGATTGGAGGAGACCTCCAAGATCATCGAGTCCAGCCTCTGCCCTAACACCACAACTAAACCATGGTGCTGAGTGCCATATCCAGTCTTTTTTTAAACACATCCAGGGATGGTGACTCCACCACCTCCCTGGGCAGACCATTCCACTACTTTATTATTCCTTCCACGAAAAACCTTTTCCTAGTATCCAACCTATATTTCCCTTGATGCAGCTTAAGACTGTGTCCTCTCATTCTGTCAGTTGCTGCCTGGAGAAAGAGACCAGCCCCCACTTGCCTACAACCATCTCTCAGGGGGTTGTAGAGATTGGTAAGGTCACCTCTGAGTCTCCTTTTCTCCAGGCTAAACAACCCCAGCTCCCTCAGCCGTTCCTCACAGGGTCTGTGTTCCAAACCCCTCACCATCCTTGTTCCCCTTATTGTAAATTCTGTTATTATATGTTTATTTAACATGTTTTGTCTTCACTTAGATAACACCTTAGAAGACAAAAAGAACCCAAAGAGACCATGTTCAGCTTCTTCCGGAAAAGTCAAGATTCGAAGAAGGTTACAGTGCCAGAGAGAGAAGCAGATGGATTTGTTATTGTGGGTAAGTGGGGCTTCAGTATAAAGTGATTCTTTCATCTTTGAAATTTTGATCTTGAAGTTTCTTTGAGATGTTTAGACTAAATGAAATGTTAAGAGAAGCCCTGATAAAATTTTTTCAGTATCCTTACTTTTCCTGACAAAGTTAATTTTCCTAGTCTGCTCATTTGGACTAAATTGCTGAATATTTTTTTACATAGGTCTGAACTCATATTCAGGAGCACTGAAAATGTAGTTTCATGTTTTCCTTTCATGCTGAGTGGGGAGAAGTTACATTCTTACAAAAACAGGAAAGGTTAAAGTTTAGGCTTCTAGCTTTATGATTAGAGTTGTGGGAAGGGAGTATCTTACTGCAGTTGTTAAAGGACTGGCTTTTATTCAGGTTTCTTCCTTTCCATTTTACTCATAGACTTCTTATATTAGAAGCCAAGAAGTGCCGGTGTATTTCTGGTCATGGTGAATGTAGATACATTGTCTCAGAACCTGACTTTTAGTTTGATAAAAATTAAACAGTTTAGGGCTTTCAAAGTTTTCTTATTCAAAAACTAATCTGAAGTATACACACCTGTGAATTGGCTACAAGTGGAGCTCTGATCAAGCTCTTTCACAGTTTTGCAGGTTGGCTTAAGTGTGCAGAAGAGAAAAAAAATATTGTTGTTACACTGAAACTGATCCTTTTTTCTCTTTTGACTATTTGTTTTCCTCCTTGTGAATCTGTCATCAGTAGTCAGCTTCTGCTGCTCTGATTTACTGACTTTCTTATCAGGAATCTTACAGTGTTTCTCTGTTTAAGTGTTACTTCTTGAGCATTTTCAAGTCACAAAAGCCTCTAGAATATTGAAGTCTAACAGTACAAGAGACTTGGAACCCTTTCGTAGAGAACTTAGATTTTTGGCAAAAGTTCTCCATTAAAACAAACTTGTTTCACATCTGTGACTGTGTTGTCATGCTTAATGGCTATCTTCCACTAGATTCTGTTCACCTGCAGCAGTTTTGATGGCTACATCAAGTCACTCCAGCATTTGCATTGTGGAAGGGTCAAAGGAGACACATCATCATCCCCAAAAAGTCTGGAGATCATTTAGCATTTCAGTTTCTGTAATAGGCAGAATTCTGCACCCAAATGTTGCTATGTCCCACAGTTGCTGGTCCTGATTCTGCATTCAATTTGGCTTCATTCTTTTTTCCTGAAATACTGTCAGTGACTATTTAAATTTTGTTCACATAAATTCACATAAAATTAATTGTTAAATATAAACTTAAGAACGATCAATTTTATTTGAGTCTTTTTTAAAATTTATTATTATTTTTTTTTTTGCTCAGATGGAAGTTAATTTAGCTGTCTGCAATGAAATGGACTCTGGCACTGGGCAGAAGAACTGCCATCAACCTTATCAGTGAAGCATATCACTGTCTTGCAAGACACATGTAATTGCAGAATTACGGGTTAGGACTTAAGTAGATATTTATCTGGAAGGGGTGTTTTTGTCTAGGAATAGTGTCAGTGGAAAAAAAAAACCCAAACCACAACACTTAGCCATTCTGTTAGTTACTATTTTGTTACTCAGATGGAATGTTCTGAAGCTTTTCTAAACTGGTGTAAAATATTCTGGAAATTCAATAGTAAATATTTTTAACATGTCTCAGCAGCAGGTTTCTAGGACCATTTATGTGAATATTATTATAGGCAGTGAACACTCTTGGAGGGGGTGAAAATTTAATTTCTTACATTTTATGTTGGTTCTTAAACCCAGTCTTTCATTCAGAGCATATAAGAACAAAAAGCTTAGTTCACCAATATCCTGTGGACATGGGAGGAATATTTCTGTATTGGTTGATATTTGAAAAAGCGAGAAGAAAAGTCAGTGCTTTACACAGCTATTGCCCTGTCAAATGTGAAGATGATTTTTTTCTTTTCATAACTTCTCCAAATCCTGTTATAAATTTCTATATTTGAAATCTACCTTTCCTTGTAAAGTACCAATGCATTTGGGAATTCACTGTCTGACTAGAAAGGTGACTCATAAAAACAGAATCAACAAAACCAACTTTGCAGCCTAGCAGCTGAAAGAAATACTCTATTTTAGCTTTTGGGGTAAATATTGCATGTATGGGAGTAAAGCAAAAATAATTTGTAATTCCCTCTCTACAAAATAAATATAAAATATAGTTTCTTAGAAGAGATTAAAACATTTTCATGTCTAACTACCAGTTCACTTATTTTCTGGATACTGGTCATCTCATCTCTTAATGAAGTGGTAAAAATGGTGCTTGTTCTGTAACAAGCAGAACTATTACTCTGAAAAGGGAAACGATGCTTATGAAATAGGCATAATGTGCAGTTGGTTTTGATGAGTGAATCAAATGCAGAAATATGGAAAAATGTTTCAGGGGCTTTCCTGATCATCACAAATTGTTTTTAATGTTAACATTATGAAAGCCAGAATTAAGAAAACAAGTAATTTTCAGTTAGCTTGGAAATCTTGGAGAGTAGTAGTTCTTTAGGAATTTCTCATGTTTTGTGGCTTTCGTAATATAAAATAAATTCCAGCCTACCATTCATTCCTATTGTTGCTAGCCATGGAGAAATATACAGGTTTAACTCTAGCATCTTGGTTTGGCACATAGCTAAAAATCTCCCATCAGTCTCAAAGATCCAAATGTCTTGTCGTCTTAGTCTAGGATCAGGACACTGAGACAGCAATGCTGCTTCCCATGTGTGTTTGGCAAGACAGTCAGAAACTCTGCAAAATCCCTATGGTGCTGATGGTGCAACTGGGGTGGGTAGTGGGTGTTTTTGCTTGAAGCAACTGAAAGATCACAGAATCATAGAATGATTTGGGTTGGAAACATTTAGTACAACCTGCCTCCATGGGCATGAACATATTTCGATAAATCTTGTTCAAAGCTCTGTGCAGCCTGACTTTGAACACAACTTTTCTGGGTAGCCTATTCCAGTGTCTCATCACCCTCTTCATTAAAAAGATCTTATAAATAACTAAAATCAATTAGAATATTGTCCTGAATGTCCTCTTTCAAAAGGACCGAGAGAAGTTAATTTTGTTTTCACGTATAGTTTAAGAGCCCAGTGTGCAGGGTCTTGTTTACTTTTCCAGACAAAATTGCAGTAAGCCAGAGTGAGGGAGCAGCAAATGCTGGTGGCTCCCCCAGGCAGCTGAGCCTGCAGCTGAGCGAGGTGCCAGGAGTGAAGGGGCTCAGGCAGAGACCTCGCTGAGGAGCAGGGCAGTCCCACACTCCCTGAACAAGGACACCACAGCCTGGGGACAGTGACCAGGGGCAGCCGAGACCGGGACTGCCAGACACGTCTGCAGGGATTAGGCACATCTGAGGCCAGGCCAGGAAGCTGGGTCAGAGGGTTGTGGCCACCCAGGTTCCCAGGCATCCCTGCAGGGTGCTTTTGGCAAGGACAAAGAAATGAGGCTTCTCCCACAGCTCTTTGCCTGGCCCTGATGGATGTGCTCAGGCTGTGTCATGTCTGTGCTGGCCACAGGCACAGAGAGCCAAAGCCCTGGCGCTGGGAAGGCGCCGCTGACCCTGGTGGTGTGCTCAGGGCTGGACAACCAGGAGGGTTGTGTTGTCTCTCACTGTGTCTGGAGGCAGCACAGTTCTCTTAGGAACTCTTGATCTGATCCTTTGCCCATGCCTGAGTTCAAGGCTTTGTTTACTTTTGACTTGTGATTTAAAGGGAAATCTGTTCCATGGATTTAAGAGTTGTTGGGTTTTGCTTGGTTTTCTCTCAGGGATCTTTTTATGTTGTGTATTGGAGTAAATGGTTTGGAGAAGCAGCTCAGTTGCAGGTGCTGACACCTGATTTTTAAACATATTTAACTTCTGTTTCTTCCCTGAACTTAGGACAGCTTTCTCTTTCATTCATAAATTAACATGGGTTTTCAGTTCTGGCCAAAGGCTGTCATTTCAGAGCTCTGCTCCCAGCCTCAGGAGCAGACCTCTTAACAAGTGGTAGGGAGTATTGGTACTTATACAGAGCACTAAAGTGTCACCTAAAGGTTATTTTCTGAGATTCGGCAATTTTGTTATAAAGTTTTTCAATGAGTAAGTACCTAAAGAAAAGTGAGCAGGCACAGGATTCTCATCAGAGTAGATTGACTGTCACAGAGACAGGGAGGCTGTGGTCATGATAAGAAAGTTTGGCAGGAATTTTGTACTGAATATACACTGCTGCACAGTGAACCTCTATTCTTCCTACTGTGCTTTCCTAGATTCATCTAGGAAGGCCATCTAGAATTTGTGAGCAAATTTTGGATTAATGCTTATTTGATAATATTTATCACTATTGGAGTAAGCATGGTTTTTGCCTACCAAGTTTCCTCTCAATAGAAAACAGTCATAAGAAATTAAGTGTTTTGAAATCTCTTCCAAATAAATAGAACAATCTGTGATATTTAAATTAGTCTTGGATTTGTTCAATTAACTAGTGTCCTTTCTGTTTCAATGATAATGTGTGAAGTAAAGAAACTCTGCAGAGCAAATGTGTTCAGGCTTGCACCAGCATCTAAAATATCACAGAAAAGGAGGTGGGAACTACTGTTTTTCATCCTGTGAGATGAAATACAGTATAAGCCGATTATTTCTTCTATAGTAAAAATACAGAAAAGAACTGGTACTAATACCAGTTGGCAGGTAGAAAATCTGTGAATTTTTTGTAAGAAGTGGGATGTTGTTGATTTCATCATTACGACCTGCTGTCACAAAGTCAGGAACATAATGGGCTGCAAAAAGAATACACAGGGAATTGGATAAATTATGGTGGATGATAGCAGATATTCTTATCTTAAAATTTTGGTCAGGTATGACTTACTCTTTTAAGTTAATCTCAGCAAAGCATTAAAACTTTGGCTTATTTCAAATGTGATACTTGAATGTTCCTCTGATGTATTTAATATCTATATTGTTGAGTTAAATCAGTATATAATTCCTTCGTACGGGATCATCCTCATCCGTAGGCAGGAGTATCCTCACTCA